ATATGTTTTTTCATATGTACCCATATCATCTTTTTTTATCTTGAATACTCGATAATCTTAAGTTATAAGATAAGAGAGAAAGGTGATTTAAAATAAGGTATCATAACAAGCCGAATATCTCTAAGCCGTGAGTTGATTTTCATTGGGTCATCAATGATTTTAGTATGAGTGGTAGCTAACTTTCTTTTCATATCTTGTGAATTATAAAAGTAGTCGAATATTGGATTTTTATGCTTTTAATTTATGTTTATCTAAAAACATAAATCATAAAGATTAGATGGTGCGTGTATTGAAATACACAATTAAAATGAGATGAAAAAAGAATGTATGTTCTCTAAGCTGTCATAAGAGATTATTTGTAAAAAAATAAAAAACAAATTAATTCTCATTTTAGATATAGCAGTGAAAACAGAAGAAGAAAACACATTGTTTTCTTCGGAAAAGCTTCTGTATCCTTCTCTCTCAAAAAAAAAAAAAAACTAGCTTTTTAGCAGCCCTGACAAGTCTGTGATAGAGAAAGGGGGTTGACAAATTAAAGAATCCGTGTGACAGAGCTTCCGTATCTTTTCATACCCTAGCTTTTCAGCAACCCTGACAAGTCTGTGAGAGAGAAAGGGAGTTGACAAATGAAAGAATCCGTGTGACAGAGCTCCTGTATCTTCTAATACCCTAGCTTTTCGGCAACCTCGACAAATAAAAGAGTACAGAGAGGGGATGTGTGTAGCCAGAGTAATGTGACAGGGATTTGGTAAACTTGTAGATTGGACTACAAATTTGAAGCTGGTTGGTCACAATCTCAACTTCTGACACGATAAATTTGAAATGGCAACTTCAACTTCACCCAGTTTTGTTTTTGTATGTTCTACAAGCACTGATAATGCCCTCTGCTTAATCACATTTAGCTCCATTGGCATTGATTCAATCATGGCATAAGCCTTGTCAAGAAGACCCATTTGAACAAGGTGATGAAACATGGCTCCATGATGCTCAAGTTGTGGCTGAAATGGGGCCAACGTCTCATTAAATCAAAGTACCTGTGGCCCTCTTGGACCAAAATACAACGTCTACATGCCATTAAGATTCCAAGTAAAATAATAGAATAAGATAAAAACATTTTCCACCATCTTCGAAAATACTTGGATTTCATTGAAAGCAAGCCGATGAATTGCTACGCCACTGATCATCATCGAATTCAGCACACAAAAATAGCGAGTACATGTTCATTAATGCCGAAACTCAAAATAAGAACAATCCAATCCTTTACCGAAAAGTAACTCATTCACCCACTGAGCATGATTAAGAACTCCAAGTCTTGCACAAGATTTACTGAAGCAAATATAAATTTATCTGGTTCAACATCCAATCTGTCAGTATAACTCAAGAAAGTCTCACTGTCTCCCCAAATCACGCTTTTCTAACACAGCCTCCCATCTTTGAGTTCCATATAACATCTCATGCATGCATTCTAATAAAAACCATTATTACCTTCCTATAATTTGCTATTCTCATAAAATTATCAATAATCATATTGAAACCCACCCACCAAATCAATACTCTAGCAGTAAACTTTATCAATAATTATAAGCAAGATTAAGCGAACCCAATGTACATAAGTTGATGTAAAAAAAAAAAAGTGATAAACTAGATCCACTACCAAATCCTAAGATTCTCTTCTCGAGTGATAATTAAAGCAAAATTATTCACAAATTTCATATTCAGTGAGGTTCTGTAGGTGCCAAGAAGATTGAACATCAGCAAGAATTTTTAAAAGAAACCATTAAATTGTCACTATAAAAGGGCATTAAAATTAGAACCTAGTCTTTAAAATATCCAACATTTTCTAGAAAACAGACAAAATTGATAACACTCAAGAGCCAATAAACAAAATATGTGGGGAAAATATGTATGCGAGTATAGGATGCAGAGATAAGAAAAAGAGCATGCTTGTGCAATATGCAGATGACATTTAAGAACACCAGATATAACTGGTTCCTATCTATTATCATCTAACAAAGGATTGCATGGGAGCCCAGCAGGTGAGTTTGCTCTGTATACACAATATGACATATTCTCAAACTTATAAATGATGTCTCTAACTAATCTAATAACTATGCATGTCTTGCTAGTAATCATTGAATCACTAGCTACATATAAGTTCCTTATGTTTTGTTTATAGGATAAGTCTAATCCAAGCTTGATTTCCTCAGCTTCATGATGAATCATTCATCATTTCTGATAAAAGCAAAATTTCAATCACAAACTTCACATCTCACAACAGAAAGAAAGATAGCTGTATAAGTAATGGCAAAAGGGCATAAGGAACTAAAATCATCAGGATTAGTAAGCTAATTTCAATGAGAACAAAATATACAATTATAGACATTCAACTTGTAAAGATTGACACGCCTTGCTGAATGTTTTCAATTAAGTGTTGTGACGTTCATGCAAATCTATCCTGCATCCACTTGAACCTGTCAATGACAGAACATCCATTTCACATGTGCATCCTCCAAAAGTTTAACTGGGCTAGCTCTAATCAATGCCAATCCTTCAAACTCTTCCTGTGATCAAATTTCAGCTACCAGATATTGCAAATTTTGGCAAGTCCCAATTCCATAGGCTCAATCCAAGCAAATTCCTTCTAATGCTGTTAGTTCCAAGTAAACTTGACTTCTATTTCAAGCAACAAATTCAGGCTATCTCATCCAAATTTGTGGACAACCAACTGTGTTCTCAGCAGAATCATATCATTTCATTAACATCCAAGCAACTCCTGAACTTTACAGTAATTTATTCATTGGAATGCGAATTGTGGATGTCATTGGTATAGATTAACCAAGCCACCTCTGCTTATTGAGTTGTGGAACTACATAAAATCATAAAAGCACCAAATATTTTATCAAGAATTTTAAGGAACCACTACCAATAGTCTCCACAAGAACATAAACCATTTTCAAACCGGTGAAACCGAATCCTATCCCTTACAATAATAACTCTGCTTAAAAGTCTTGAAACCGTTTTTATCCAATTGTGACAGTCATAACAGATTCGGAGGTTCTTTGAAATCCTAACTTCTGCTCCAGAGGTAGTCTTGAGGATCCCATAGGCCAATGCCAACTTTTCACTGTGATGATACAAATTTCCCTCCTTTTCCTCTTCAGAGACATCCATTGTAACTAAGTCTGTTGTGGGCACATATCCAGCCAGCTTTGTTCTCTGGATTAATCCTTCCAACATTTTGTATATCGCTTCTGTTTCAGGATGTGATCTATCACCTGCCTTAAATGGGTGAAGAAAACCAGCCCACTCAAAACAACTCTTTCCCCGGACCTTATGAACTCCCTTCTTTTTCATCATTTCCCATACTCCCTGTGCAGTATCCCATCTCTTTTGAGAGCAGTAGATATTTGACAACAAGACATAATCTCCACTCCTGAGACGAGATATATTTGCCATGGCTGCTTCACCCAGTTCTGGCTTCTTGTATGTTCTACAGGCACCAAGAAGTGCCCTCCATATAACAACATCTGGTTCCATTGGCATTGATTTGATCATGGCAAATGCCTCTTCTAGAAGCCCAGCTCGACCCAAGAGATCAACCATGGCTCCGTAATGCTCAATATGTGGCTGAACCGAATATTGACTTCTCATTAAATCAAAGTATTTGCGACCTTCTTTAATCAAACCACAATGGCTACATGCTGTTAAAATTCCAAGAAAAGTTATAGAATCAGGCAAAACATTTTCCACCTCCATCTTTGTAAAGACTTTGATTGCATCTAAAGCAAGCCCATGAACTGCTAAACCACTGATCATTGCATTCCAAATACAAACATTGTTGCGTTGGACACCATCAAAAATCTCTTTGGCAGTCTGAATTTTACCGCACTTGGAATACATATCAATCAATGCTGAACTCAAAATAAAATTCAACTCAATTCTTTTCTCAATCAACAACTCGTGCACCCACTGAGCATGTTTAAGGGCTCCAAGTTTTGCACACCCATTTATAACTGATGCAAATGTAAATTTATCTGGCTCAACGTTGGATTTATTCATAAATCTAAAAAGTCTCAATGCGTCCTCAAATCGTGCTTTTCTAACATAACCTCCAATCATCGTGTTCCATGTTACCACATCTCGTACAGGCATTTTATTAAAAACCATTTTGGCAACCCTATAATTTTCCGTTCTCATTAACTTATCAATGATCAAATTCAACTCCACCAAATCAATACTCCAACAGAAAACTTGATCAATAACTTTATAAACAAGACTACGGCAATTGCAATGCACATATTTCAACATTAAAGAAGCCATAAGAGACGGACTGGTACCATAACTAAATGTAATGATTCTTGAATGGATTTTACTCAGAGTTTTGATATCCATTGACGTTTTGCCTGATTGAAGAAGGTTATAAAGTTCTTGGTAATCTGCAAAAGTACCATTCATTAAATTGTAAAAAAAAAAAAAAGGTCTAAACTTAGAATCTTTCACTAATGACAATAATATAATTTGATAACCAGCAACAAGTTCTAAGGGGATAATGAAGTGCTAATCTTTCATTAATTTAAACACAAAAACAAATTTCATCACTATAAGTGTCTAATGAAGTGTCAATCTCTCATTAATAAAAATTAAAAAAAAATTACCCAGAGACAAGAGCAAGTGATCAAACAATACCTGCATAATGTTGCTGAGGAGGAGAAGAGACTGGTACTGAACTGGAGGAACGGTTCCACCTAATAATTCCCATATGGGGCTGTGTAGTCAGCCTCTTTATCACATTTAGTTGCATGTTTGCCGTACTCTTTCTCTCTCTCCTCCGTCCCCTTCTCCCTCACTCTATCTGGTCTTGAAATTTCTGTCTCTCTGCTTGGAAATGGGAGCGGAAGAAAGGAAAGAGGATGGTTCAAATATGGGCTAAATTCAATTAGCCATTTATGGGCTTTGTACAAAAGGGCCTTTCAAGGCCCTTTCTGGTTATTTAACTTACTGGTTAGAATTGGGAATAAGTTTATCACCAGGTAAATTGAACCATTCGAAATTCAGGTTCAACCTCAACAGAAGAGACTGGTTTCTTTTGTTATGTTCTTTGCACCAAATTACCCCTCTCTATTATCCATAAACCCTAAATCACCGCTCCCATCCTAAGAGACAAAACCCCTGGCCCCCATCGAAACAAATACTTCTTCCACCGGATAAAAAAGTCCTCCTTCTCGTGGGTGGCTCTGGTGGCTCTGCTTCTCGTCGGTGGCTCTGCTTCTCGTTGGAGGCTCTGCTTCTTGTCGGTGGCTGTGCTTCTCTTTTGCTCTCATGACTTTCATTCTCACTTTATAAATTGAGTAAGTAAAAGCTCTATCTCTCTTTCTATGATCAGTGAAGGATAATCAAAACTCTATCTACGTCTCTGTTCCTTTCTCTATACTCCTCGATCTTCATTTGTCTAATTCTTTTTATTAATACCCCTAACCTTTGGGAAGGGTAAAGTTTTCCCTTTTGAATTGTTGTTCTTTAAATAAACAATATATATGCGGATTGTGTAAGTCATTGTAAATGTAAATTATATGGATATATGCAATAAGCTTCCATCAATTGAAATCCTTTTGCTGGTTTGAAGTGAACAAACCACTTGGGTATTTCTGGATGGCGATATCTATTATATTCCCTGTTGAGGAGGTCAGTTGGAAAGACAGATAATTACTCAGCCATTTTATTTAATAGTTGCAAACAAATGGAATAACCTTGACAAAGGAATGTTGCCTTGACCTAAAAAGACTTACTAAACCCAGCTTTAATCTTCATTTGGAAATTTTGAGGTTTTTTGTTCCTTTCAAATTAATTATCGGAAACGTAGGGTTGAGCTGCTCTTCTAGTATGCTATTATTAGTGCTGCATGAGATTTATGCAATTATAGTTTTTTCTAGTTTCGTGTAATTAACCAAATTGATAGTTTTATTAGCGAGAAAGCAGTTAGCATGGCACAAAGAGATAGTGACATGAGGAAGAAACCAAACATATTGATAACTGGCACACCCGGAACTGGAAAAACAACTACCGCATCTGCTCTGGCAGAGGCCACCCAGTTCCGCCACATTAATATTGGAGATTTGGTCAAAGAGAAGAACTTGCATGATGGATGGGATGACCAGTTTGACTGCTACATAATTAATGAAGACCTGGTAAAACCCTATATATTACCGTACTTCAAGCTCATTTCCTATGTTAACATGGATATTTGAAATATTAGTCAAATTTTCAGGATGTCCATTTTCTAAAATTTCTATTACCTTTTTGGGGCGGGAGGTAGGTGTGTGATGAACTCGAAGATATAATGGAAGAAGGTGGAAACATAGTGGACTATCATGGTTGTGATTTCTTTCCAGAGCGATGGTTTGATCAAGTTGTGGTTCTGCAAACTGACAATTCTGTTTTGTACGATCGTTTAAGCAAGAGGTAGTTCAGCCTATCTAACTCATCTTGAACGTCCTTAAAAGTATCGTTGTGTGTGTTTTGTAGCTTCTGCAGTAGCAAATGTCAGGATTAATCTTTTTTTCATCTTCATTTTTCTTTTAAACAAAACAAAAGAGGCTACTCAGAGACGAAGATATCCAACAACATGGAATGTGAAATCTTCCAAGTCCTATTGGAGGAGGCAAAAGAAAGTTATCCAGAAGGCATTGTGGTGGCGTTAAGGAGTGATTCTATCGACGACATCACCAACAACATTGCCACTCTTACTCACTGGCTCACCACTTGGAAAACTGTTCCATAGTGGGATCCTCAGCTTCCTCTCTGTGTTTTTTACTTTGATTATTACCATTTTATTTGAGAGAACTTATCGTGTGGGCATGTTTACGGTGATGTTCATCGTTTACTGTAGTAAGTACACTAACTTTCGGAACCAAATGGTTGAATGTTTCCTTTGTATGAAATCCTTTTAGGTTATCAGTACACTCATAACCTTGAATCATGAAGTCTCCGATAAGATTATCACTTCCATGGACCCATTAATAGGCCCCACCACCATTAGGGCACGAGTTTCTTACTTCTAAAGCAAGTCAAGCCCTATAAAACCAGATCTAGAGTGGAGGAATCTTGTGTTTCCTCCTGGACATGAAAGTGAGACCAGCAAACAGAAGAGCCTTGCTTTTTCCCTGGGAATATATTCCAATTAATGAGGTTTAGTGCAAATCTCAATTAATTAAAAAGAAGAAGAAGAAACATCGTGCGTGTTAAACTTTTGATTTTCCACTTTTCACTTACTAGAGAAGGATCATAATCCAATTCAAGTGTCTTTGAGCTCAATGTGAAATCCCAAGCACACAAACGCCACGTGCACCCGAATTAAACATACGTTTCTCATCATGGGATCGAGATGAAACTTGATTTCCTAAAAGATAACATATAAAATTGTACGACAAAATTTCGTATTAGAAGTGTTGTTCCCTTGCTGGTTTGATGCTTTTACCTTTTCAATTATCCAATGCCTTTTCTTTTCTTTTTTATCTTGTTCATTCACCTGCTAACCTTATTTTTGTAGCAGCGGCTTGGTGTTTTGGATCTTCCAAGGGGAAAGCATCATGTAATTGATGCAGTCCAAAGCACAAGAAGGATAACAACAATCATTTAAATATTCAAATAGAGTTACTTTGTACCCTGCCATCCAGCAGGGCCAAATAGCGTCCAATCCAAAAACCAAGCAACGATTTCAATGAGAAATAAACAATGCAATGCAGAGCAGAGGCAAAGGCACATGGAAAACCAGCTCCAGATGTCATTGTTTACGTAGCAACTCCCAAAAAAGTCCTTCCATTAAGGGATACAACTATTTTTAAGGAAAAAAAAACATTTCAGAGAATAAAATATACAAAAAAAAACCTCCCAAAATTCCCTTACTTCAGTGAGGCGGCAGAGTTAATTGGAGGTATCATATCATTACGAGAACACTCAACTAAAATGCAAAATAATAAAACAATGAAGGAAGATTAAGAACACTAGGTCAACTCATATAGTTGATGACGCAATTTAAGACTGCATATGTGGTTAGACTGAAATTGAGGAACTTGTGCCTTTAATTTAGACAATCTCAAGTTGACAACAATATAATAAACCAACCAAAAACACGACAAGTATGATAAACTTTTAAGGAAAGACACAAATACCAAACATCTTAATATGAATGGGTTCTTACAAGGATAAAACACACCAAAAATACTGTCGTTTCAACCTACCTCCGAAGACTCAATGTAACCAAATTAATTAAAACAAGCTGAACTATCTATCTATACAGGTGAGAACAAGGAGGACAATTTTCCCTTGCACGTTGCAAATGTATTTTGATATTTTTTGCAGCCTTCACATATACCTCTTCTGATGCAGATCAAGAAATGAATCTCCCATAGTTCAGTGATCAATATCTCTGTAAACATTGGAGCTACTGCAATTTTATTTCTGTTATTGTTTTTCCTAGTTTATTACTTTCCTAGTTAGAATTGGAGATTTATTTTGTTATTGCTTTTCTAGTTTATTATTTTTGGAGTTGGAGATTGTACGTTTGGATTAATATTTAAGGGAGGATGAGTCTAATAGAAGGGATTATTATTATTATTTTTTTTTCCATCTTACGAATATGAGTTGAGTTTTCCTTGAGTAATTCCAGCACACATAGAGATTTTGTGTTATTCCTTGATCTTGGTATTTAGCGTCAGGCTACTCCTAGAAAATTTTCTTGAACCAACTTTTTTAGTAAATGATGGGTCGTGGTTTCTCAAATCAACCTTATTTAAGAGATAACACGCACCCAATGAAAGTTATAACTCTACTTTAAACGTGGATGCATTCACGCCCAGTCTCACGATTGGGTCAGGGCAACAACACACCCAACCCTAAGTTGGGCGCAGTCGTGTCCACATATGGTCCCATAATTAGACTCAGTGCTGCCACACCCAACTTTACATTGGGCAAGGATGCGTTCCCGGCCAGTCCCACATTAGGCCGGGCATGACCCCACCCAACTCTTAGTTGGATGTTGACGTGTCCATGCTCGTCCCATGATTAGGCATAAGCGAGACCCCACCAAACTCTACTTTGGGTGTGAACGAGTCCACACTTAGTCCAAAGTTGGGTTCGGGCTCGACCCTACCTAACTCTACATTAGGCGCGGACAGGTCCATTCCCCGTCCTACTATTGGGCCCTAGTGCAACTTAGCCTAACTTTATGTTGGGCGTGGATGCATCCCTGCCCCATCCTCTAATTGGGCCCAAGTGCGACCACACCCAACTCTATTTTCTTAGGCTTGGGGCGTGAATTAAGCCCAACATCCCTAAGATTGGGTATGAAGCTGAAGGGTCACTCTACACTGAGCTCCCCATACCTTGAGCCTGAATTAATAATCGTGATGCCCATCATAATACCATTAAATACGAACAAGCAACCCATACTTATATTAATTAGATGTAATGACACGAGCCATAGAATAATATTATTTTACTATTACAAGATTACATCTCTACCCCTTCTACGTTGCATGAAGCAAGTCAAGTCAGGTAATATAAAAGGATGCATAAATATACAGGAAGGGGTGGGAAAAACCTTATATTGAGAGACAAAACACATTTTTGGCTTCTTTCTTAATTCTACATCTCTTTCCTTACGAGGGACCCAGAGTGCAGCTGGGCATGGACATGTCCAGGTCCAAATTGGGGCGAAGCGGGGCGTGGACACATTCGGGCCTAACATGAGACTGGGTAGAGACGCGTCCAAACCTAGTTATGGGATGGGATGAGAACTCTTTCGGTCCCCAAATAGAGTTAGGCGTGGTCGAGTCCGCGCCCAACGTGGAATTAGGCCCAACCTAGAACAACCTGAGGTCGGGTGTGGGCATGTTCTAGCCCAACATGGAGTTGGGCGAGGGCACGACTATTCTAAAAAGGAATTGGACTCAGGCACGTTAATTGAGTTGGCAGGAAACCAATTCCAAAGCGAGTGGACTTGGCTAACTGACAAGCAAAAAATGTGTGAACCCTAGGGTAATATCATTAATAATAATAAAAGTCAATACTATGAAAAAAATAGAGTAAATGATAAATTAACTTATACGAATGATGACAAATAGATCATGTTTTTGGAATATTGGACTCTGAGCTTAGCTAGGCCTAGAGTAGGCTTCTGTCAACCTGTCTTCCAAGGTTTAAGCCTTTACTTGTAGTAGGAGAACCCTAGTTATTTTTCCTATTAGATCTTTAGTCTTCTCTACTAGCATAGATGAGACCTAAAGTCCAAGTGGTTTCTTTCTACGGGGTCTTAAGTACTGAAAGGATGACTAGCATTTAATGGGTTCCTTTAGCCTTTTCGAGATATATAAAGGCACGAAAAGGTTTTCATCCAACAATGGGGGTTTTTCTTTATAACCCTAGTTCTATATGTGATGACATCCCCAATAACATCGGTGCCATGGATGTGGAATTCATGACTCACCACCAACCTAGCAAGTACATTGCCTAGATGCCTCTCCTTTACGAGCATATCAACAAACTAATCGAAGGAACCTCCTGGGGCCTCTTCGAGATCACTGCCCCCCCTCTACATGTACAATATAGGGTATTCTTTCCCTCTCTGAGGATTTTATAAAGGATGTGTTTAGCTATTACTAGTTGAGTTCGGGGCAGCTGCATCCCAATAGGTGGACACTCATGTCTACCTTTAAAAAGTTTTATAGAATGGTCGGGCTCAAGCCTACTGTGAATGTTTTCAAGAGTTGTTACCAATTGGTCACCAACTCAGATGGTGGCAGTAACATGTGTTGATTCTTCAACTTTGCTAATAAGAGCTAAGATGTCATAAAGGACACGCTATTTGGGAAGCACAACCTCCATAAGAAGTAAAGGGAGAGATAGGTGGTCATACAATACACCGGGTTGATTGCTTTACCGAGAGCAATGTAACAAATCTGGGGATTTTTGATTATCGAAGGACTCCTCCCTATAAAGTAAATAGAAAGCTTTGTCTGACCACCAATGAGGAGAAGAACTGCACCGTGTTGGATGCAGCTAAAATCGACTATGAAATCGATTTGATGGCCAAGGGACACTACTAAGAAGTTTTGAAAGATAGTCATCTTGCTAGGTTTTCTTCTTTTTTGGCCCGTTTTAGAATCTAAACCTTTTGTTCCTCTAGGTTTGATAGTTAGAGGAGAGGCGTCATAGGTGCCCCCTATCAAGAGCCTCCATAAGGGGTCTTCATCTCAGGCCTCTAGTGACGACAAGGATGAAAAGAAGAAGGAAAACTCCTATTTGTTAGTAGGGGAACTCCTTACACTTGAGGGCATTGTCCCCTTGTTTGAAGTAGATAGTCCTGGTCTTTTCTTGTCAAGGGAAGCAAGCCTAAATCCTGAAGTAATTGCAGGTGCCTCCACTAGCTTCAAGAGGAGAAGAATTAGGGCATTGTTGGCTACTTAACCCTTAACTCAACAGAAAGAAGCCCTGTGATATTTTCCTTACTTCGAACCCCGGCTCTAACCGCTGAAAAAGCAGTAGTTGGGACCTCCACCGGAGTTGCTCCTAGGAAGTTTAGGGATGTCTTTTCTAAGCTGGTTCTAGGCCGTAATTCATTTGATTTTCTAGACTTGTTGGACACGGAGAGGCAATACATGGAATCCCTGGTTGAAGGAAAAACGTGTCTCGAGTAAGTTAGCCTTTAGACGGTGAGCACTTTAGAGAGAGCCCCTATTATCCCTGCAGACATCTCAATGATGTTTGATGAAAGCTTTCATTGCCATTTGAATTTAGTTAGCCAAAATGGCTTTTAATGTAAGGAAAAACTACTTCTTTTCTGTTTAGGTTGGGTGTTGTCCTTTTTTAACAACCTTCTTTGGTAGGTTTTTATGATGTGTGCCCCCACTCCTAGAGGTGTTAAACAACATAAAGAGATTGTGTGAGATGGGAAGAAGTTGCAAATAAGGAGAATCA